ACGCCGACTTCCTGGAGCTGGCGCCCGACGAGGTGGCGGCCTTGCTGGCTGACCCGGCGCTGGGTGTGGTGCGCGAGGAGGCTGTGTTCGAGGCGGCCATGCGCTGGGTGCGCCACGACACGCCTGCCCGCCGCGGACAGCTGCGGCGCCTGCTGGAGCACGTGCGCTTGCCCCTGCTGGCACCTGCCTACTTCCTGGAGAAAGTGGAGGCTGACGAGCTGCTGCAGGCCTGTGGCGAGTGCCGCCCGCTGCTGCTCGAAGCCCGAGCCTGCTTCATTCTGGGCCGCGAGGCTGGCGTGCTGCGGGCCAGGCCGCGGAGGTACAGCTACCTGCCCCCTTGCCTCATGCCTTTCCTTATTCCTGTATTCTTCAACTCACTTCTCACTCACTCCTCCATCATCCTTTAACCCAAGCACTTGACAGTGCCTCTTGAAAGAGATTCAGTCATACATTCAACAGACATTTCATAGGCTTGGTGCTGGGCAGAGTTCACAATTCAATGAAGAAATGCAGGGACCTCACAACTCGCGCATATTCTGTCTCGTGCCCCACACTCAGGAGTGATCTGAAAACACACCTTACCCTCTAGGAGCGCAATCTAGTAAAGGGTACAAATAGGCAGGGCCTGGGGAAAAAATGAAAAAGGCCTACTCCCACCCCTGGAATGCAGACTGTTAGACTTTGAGTGGAGTGGTCAAGATGGTCTGTCACCCTCAGAGGAATAAGAGACGGGTTCTGTCTTACTCATCACTGTATCTTCAACACTTAACTCAGGGCCTAGTTAGTGCAAGAAGATGTTCAATATTTGTCAAAGGATTAGGTAGTAAACCATTGGCTAAAGGGTCTGGAAATTCTGGTGAAGTCAGAAGCCTGAGGGGTCAGTGGGAGGGGGAATGTTTGCTGAAAGGGTGTATAGCCTGGCTCAGTGTATTTCATGATTAGGGGATGGGTTTAGGAGATGGTTACCAGAGGAGGGATGTAGCAGAATTAGCAGTCCATGATGGAGGTCAGACAAGGGTGAAGAGAATGGGTTAGTGGCATACCAACCTGGGCTTGAATTCCAGCTCTGTCATTTTTGGCTACATGACTTTTGGCAAGCCAAAGTCTGTGAGCCTGTTTCCTCCTCTGTAAAAGGAGTAATAATCTCTCCCTAACAGAACTGACCTAAGGATTAAACGAGGTGATTTTTCTAGGTAAGGGTATGGGCTCTGTTAAGTTCCTTTCCTGTAACTCAGAGGTCAGTAGAATAGGGTAAGGAGTAGTGATGCTCTTTCTATCAATTACTAGAGAGAAGGTTGGAAGTGGCAGAGTCCAGCATGGGAAGGGTGGGGAGCAGAAGGGCATGGGAAGGCAGTGCGGTCAACAAGAGGGTGAGAGGGCTGAAACCTGGGTGCGGGTCAACCAGCACTGGGCTTGTCCCCACACCAGATTCATGGACCTAGCTGAAGTGATCGTGGTCATTGGCGGTTGCGACCGCAAAGGGCTCCTGAAGCTTCCCTTCGCCGACATCTACCATCCAGAAAGCCAGCGCTGGACCCCGCTGCCCAGCTTGCCGGGATACACGCGCTCAGAGTTCGCAACCTGTACTCTCCGCAATGATGTCTATGTCTCTGGTGAGGGCGGAACCGCAGCCAGCGTCCCACAGGATTGGCTCACCATCTCCCGCACACTGCCCTCTTTGTTCTTCCCTCCAACTGGGTTGGCGGGGGGGGGGGCGGGGGCGGGATCTTTCCTGATAACCTACAGTTACTGGCTGAGGTGGTACTGCAGAGCCAATCACTGGTGTGACTCCACCCTTTATTCAGCAATGTTTACTTCAATTCAGGTTGTATTAATCACTTCTCTTCATCTAGTCTACCATGTGCTGTGCATTATGCTAAACAGCTTAGATTATTTAATTCCCAGGACAACCAAATTTTATAGGGAGACTAAGAATTTCCCTGTTGTCTTGAAAATGGCAAATATTAGTCTGACATCTGAGATTTGGGTCCTAAAGACTCAGAGAATAAAACACAGTGCCTGCTCCCCTGGAGTAGGGGAGACATAGACTTCACTTTACCAAGCAGAATGGGATCAGAGCTCTGAGTCCCTTCGTAATCTGGATTCCCAATCAAGGAATCTGGTCCAGCTTCATGGAAGGGATGATTTTTCAGCTAGACCTTGAAAACTGGAGGGAACAGCACAGGCAAAGACATGAAAGCAGGCAGGAACCCTGCTTACTCAGGTCTCCAAAGTGCAGGTGAGTGTCTCTGGGAGAGGTAGGGACACTATTGTAGATACAGCAGAAAAGGGAGTCTGGAGTCAGATCAGGGAGGCTTTGAATCCAGGCCTAAGTAGACTGCACTTGATGTAGTAGGGAGCTGTGGGTACCTGGGAAGGTTAAGGAGAATGAGCCAGGAAGGCCTCAGCAACCAACCAGGCCATACTTTATTACTGGATAACTTATCCAAGACCACTGATGGCCCCTGAGCAACATGTGGGGCCTCTGCCTGATATACTGGAAATACACAGCAAGGGCTACAAAACAAGTGGATAAGATCAGGCCCAGGCTGAGGGGTGCAGCTAGGGTTGTCCCTGGAAAGGTTGCTCCTGAGAGGTGAGTCACTGGTCAGGAACCCCAGGATGGCCAGACACTGGGAGAGCCCACAACCTGCACTCCCAGTGCCTGGCCCAACTGGCTCTGCAATACCACCTCAGCCAATCACTTGGGGCATACCAATGCTGAGTGTGGGGGACCGGAAATTCTGGTCATTGCTCTGGCAGTGAGAGGCCACTACCTTCTGCAGAGTGGTAAGTGACCCTCTCTTTGCTTCCCTGAGCACAGAGCCTAATACACCACCACAAGGCACCCAGTGAAGATCAGCTTCTCTCAGAATCTCTCAGGCTTCTCCCTTCAAGACTTTCTGCCTGTTGTTCTAATTCAGACATTCCCACTGCTCATTCAAAGCACACTGACTGGGTCAGAGCCCCAGAGTCTCACATAAGCCCAGGGGGAAGTCTTCCCTGTTGTCTACCTTTAAACCTTCTTTTGGATCTGGGGACCCTTGTCTCTAGCTCCTTGGAGGTGCTGGGGATAGCAAGAGGACCTGGGATCAAAAGCTGCTTCTCTCACTCTAGGAGGTCACATCAACAGCCGTGATGTGTGGATGTTTAGCTCACATCTGCATACCTGGATCAAGGTGGCCTCACTGCACAAGGGCAGGTGGAGGCACAAGATGGCGGTCATGCAGGGGCAGGTAGGGACACCCAGCAGCTGCTGCCCTGAGCCCATGGTAGAGATTTATAAATTCCTGGGGAAAGGCCTTCTACAGTTCTCTAAGAAGGGATGTGAAACCCCCCAAAGGAAAAGGAATTGCCCAAAGTTGCATAATAATGTTAATAATAATTACTGTAATAGTACAACCTAACAGAGCAACAAGGATGTGCAACATGGGGCCAAACAGCCTATGTCTCAATCTTGACTTTGCCACTTAGACCAAAATGAAAAAAAAAAAAAATCTGCCAATTATCTTTGTAAGCTACATTCTGAATTCCGAAAGTGCTTCTTAGAATCATTTCAGTGAGGTGGTAAACCCCTAAGAAATTACTACCGATTTGTATTAAGCATCAACTTGGTGCCAAGTATTTTACAGATCTAATCCTCATTCAGTACCCATCCTACAAACCAATGTCAATATCCCCAGCTGGTAGACAAAATCTGCTAAGGAAGGTTCAGTAAAGGAGAGGCTGTGGCGGGGTGGGGGCTGGGGTAGAACCGGCGGCGGAGGGAGAGGTGGAGGAGCCAGGAGCTGGGATGAGCCCCCAGGTGGGTCTGGCCCTTAACGCTGTGGGCGGGAGATGTAGATTTCGTTAACTCTTGCGACCTTCCTGACCCCCTTCATCCGCAGCTGTTCGCAGTGGGCGGCTTCGACGGCCTGCGGCGCCTGCGCAGCGTGGAACGCTATGACCCCTTTTCCAACACCTGGGCGGCAGTCGCACCACTCCCCGAGGGGGTGAGCTCCGCCGCCGTGGCGCCCTGCGTGGGCCGGCTCTACGTGATCGGGGGCGCCAAGCAGGACGGCGTCAGCACCAATAAGGTGGGCAGGGAGAGGGCAGTGGAAGTCTGCTGTCTGCCAGGCACAGAGTTGGGGCTTTCATGTCTTTTTCTCACTTAATCTCATCGACAGCCCTGACGAGTTACCCCTATGTTTCAGGCAAGGAAATGAATTCAGAGAGGCGACCCCAAGGTCAAACAGTAGGTCTGGACCCAAATGTTTGGGTTGGTTCCCTATGGGTTTCATAGATTTTAAAAATTAAGTGAGGGCAAGGGTGGGATTAGTTTAAATGCTTTTCTTCCATTAATAAAAAATACACTCATTATTGAAAATCTAGAAAACAGAGAAATAGGAAAAAAACATTCATAATCTCACCACCTAAGGATAACTATTGCTATTAATATATTTTTGTGCATTGCCTTCTAAGCTTCCTCTGAATTGGCTTTAGCTTTTTAGTTTTGTGTTCATACTGTTAGTAGAATTTTGCATTCCGCTTTTTCTTCTAAGTACCTTCCACATGCTTAGAAAACTCTTCACAGCCATCATTTCAGTGTATGTGTAATAATCTACTGGGTGGATGAATCATAGTCTACCAAACTTTCTGATATTGGACATCTAGGATTTTTTTGAATAAAAATTGACCTTCATTGTGGCAGCTCCCTCCCTGCCCTGATGGCCTCACAAGCCTGTGGTCCTGGGATCTGACTCTCTCCCAAACTAGGATCCCTCACCTCCTTATTCCAACACCACTCCCAGCACACCTTCCTGGGCTGGCTAGGGGAATGCCCTTTAGTACCGTCTTGTGCAGCACTGATGTGAACAAGCCATTCTGGGGGCTTCCAAGGAAATAATTGAGGAAACAGGGAGTAAAGTGAGCAGGCATGTACAGGTATGAGCCCTTAGAAACTGTGGAAGGTGTCGTAAACACCCATGGGCCTGGGAGGCCTCTGGACAGTGGTAGGAATGGAGGCTGCAAGACACCCCAGCTGGAATCTTTTCATGACCTCAGACCACAAAAGGGGGAAGAGGGTGGATAGTAGAAGCAGCCAAGAATGCATCTCTACGGGGCACCTGCTCTGAGAACTACCTACAGCACTAATACAGACTAATGCAGACTCCTGGGATGCAGACCTCTTCCTGGACCTTGAAAGATGAAGAGGCTTTTGACAATGGGAGTCCAGGAGTTGGGGGTAGAACATGGAACCAGGATGAGCACATCTGAGGGTAGGGACGCTAGCTCAGGCCTGGCAGACATAGGTAAATGTGCTGAATAAGTCCCCCCGACAGAGAGAGATGAACGGTGTGGGCAACAGGGCAGTTGGGGGATAAGTCTTCACTACCGCTCCTCCTGCCCCTCAGGTGCAGTGCTTTGACCCCAAGGAGGACCGGTGGAGCCTGCGGTCACCAGCACCCTTCTCACAGCGATGCCTTGAGGCTGTCTCCCTGGAAGACACCATCTATGTGGTCGGGGGCCTCATGCGCAAAATCTTCACCTACGACCCTGGCACAGATGTCTGGGGGGAGGCAGCTGTCCTCCCCAGCCCTGTGGTAAGTGGAGGCACAGCCCTGACACTGGTTCCATTTAGGAGAGTGAAGACCCACTTCTAAGGATCTGGATCCCAGAGGTAGTGAGTCTTGTGTCTGACTCCATGCTAGGTGGTTT